TATAATAAATCTCTTATTAACCAAGCCTGCTCGGGACTGTACTGGAAAAATATCGGCCCTCGGTCTTTTTTGTACGGACTGAGCTGCGCTCGGTCTGAACTGTCAAGACCGAGGGCCAATATTCTTCCAGTACAGCCCTCACGCTTGGTTAATAAGATATATAAGGAAACTGTGGTGCTGCATCAGTGGGAGTAACAAGGTAATATGGGTTTTATCAACTAAGCTGATAATGTAATTTGGCCATTATAAAGACTTTCAAAGCTGACATTTTGAGTGTTAGTCCTTTGTGACACATTACCAACTCAGTTGAGAAAACCCAAACTACCTAGAATTCAATGGCCTGAGTGGGCAATTCTTGAATTAAACATGGACTGTAATCACCCATTACTTTACACCTCCATATTTCTTATTAAAAACCCCCAATAATAAACAGTTCAGGAATAATCATATTTCTGTGTCAGTTAGTTATCATTTTGAATTTTTTTCTTTTTTCCAGGCTACAGTACCAAATCTAGTTACAATCAAAACAATGTATCATCGCATGCAGAAGATACTCGGCAGATGATGGATGAATTGAAGACAATTCAATCCTTTGGAAACTAACTGTTTCCTTTCCCAGCCATTTTTTAACTCCTAACAAAGCCATAACCCTTCGACTACCAAGATCAAGTTATCAACCCTCCCCTGTAGCTGCTACATATTTGTTGTGAATGAGGAACAAGAATTTGTTGTTCGAACAGGAAAACCGCGTCTATCTCATAATTTTGAGTGCTCTCATTGCCTTTTGCTGGATAGTGTATGGAAATTATGGGGATAAGTTAAATGTTTTAAATCAGTGTTCTCATAATATAGCTAATGAGAAACTTTTGATTCAGGTACACTTTCTGTGACAGAACTCCCTTAGGAGTCATGACATAATTATACTTAACGTTGTAAATATCAACTACTAATAACAAGAACATTCTTAAATCAGTGAAATTTGTCATTTATTGACTTTTTGTTCGGTAAATACATTGCAGGGTAAGAAAAACTAGATTATACATGCAGCAACTACAATCATAACATTTTATTTCAACTAACATATCTTCTAAGTAGTTCTACCGTCAGCTTAAGCGCTTATTATTTGTAACGATTCATCAAAACAGATCACAAAGTGGTGTGAGGAAAGAAGCTGTTCTCATTGTGACAGCAGCAAGTTATTGCCTGTCCTTTGCTTTCAAATCCTCAGAAATCTTCTGGAAACAGAAGTCCGCTTTATCATGGAATTCAAATGTCTCAAATCCATTGCACTGCTTCTTCAATTCAGAATTGGTGGCGGCATATGTCATCTTTTCCTTGACTCCGACGCAGTCATCATCGCACCTAAAAAAAAATCATCCAGTGCATTTCTTCATTTAAACAGACCTTTAGATATAATGATTTGTGAAAACTGATCGGCTCCAACAGGAGCTCAACTGAGAGCTTTTGCTGGTTATTGAGGAGTATTGAAGTTCTTAGAAAACTGTTCACTTTTTGGAACAAAAACTGTCCGCAGACAAATATCTATTTCCGCCCTTAGTGTGGAGGCTAATGTTTATTTTAAACCCAAGGATTTTGCCAGGCTTCACTGAAAATGTGTTATTACTCGACAATAATCCTAGGCAAAGAGAAACTTTGAAAGTCAAATGTCTTGCCCAAAAACAACACAACGATGTACCCAGAGGCCTGAATCCTGACCTTTCAAACCCGAGTGAAATGCCGCAGCGCTATCCAATAAGCTACTGTATCTTACATCCCAGTTTTTTTTTTTTTCTGTTTTTTTTTTCTTAGAAAAACAATTACTACCCAGTCACCTACCAATAGATGAAAATTGGTTTGTCTTTGACAGTACCACTGTTCTGTTTGTAGGCAAAGTCAAAGAGGATGTAACAGGGTCCTTGCAGCTCTTCAACCTTTTTCTTCATGTCGTCAAAGACTTCCTCATTTTCCACTAAATCAGTTCTGGAACGAAGTTTGCCATGTTGTTCCTTAAGAACAACTTCTTTGTTATTTTCAATCTTCATGATGGCCCATGCATGTTCGTGCTTGTCTTTGACCAAAGAGAACATATTCTTACAGCTCTCGTCCAATTTGATACCTGAGGCCTTAAAAAAATAACATGGCGCGCATAAATCTTTATAATTCTGCTCGTTGCTAGGTCCTTCAGTAACTCTGTAATCTAAAATACTAATCCAAAGGTCGCGGGTTTGATTTCTATTTACCCAATTTACACTCCCAAGTTCTTTTTTCCGAGTATGTCTTTGTCATTAACTGAATAGCATGTTTCACTAAAATTATTAGGCTTAAAATTAACCATTTTCGTTTACTTCATCAAAAACATCAGTTATCGACATCATATTATCACATTACAACATCAGTTATATTCCTATCCTAACAGTGTGGAGGAAGTTTGTCACCATGCCACCCGACTGAAACGCGGCCTAGTCTACCAAGAGTCTCCAATAGCTCTGTGGCAGAGCATCCGAAGAACTGATCGGAACTGATCGGAACTGATCGGAACGTCGCGGGTTAGACTCCGAATGGGAACACTTAGAGTTTTTTTTTTTTCTTCGAGTATGCCTGTGTCATTCCCGACTGAATATCGTCATCTTTCACTTACCATGATGTCAGGTGATGAACTTAACTTCCAAAATTAGGTCCTGATCAAAGAATAACAAGAGAGAACATAGTAAGATTAGTGAATGGTCAAGTGCAATAGGAAATATAATCAGGGAGGGGAAGGTAATCAAGAAAGACTGGTAAATTACTTAGAAGGGTTTGGGATTAAAAAACAAAATGTCGATTAAATGACCGCTATTGATATGAACAATGACCCAAATATCTGTTTCTCAAAACAAACCCAAAAACCTCTGCACTAAGWTTTAACACCGTTAAATCCCATGTGCCACAGAATTAAGACAGAGTTTTTCATGAAGCTAAATGTTAGCAATAATTAGGGAAATCACATACCGAAATAAAATTTTCCTGCGAGATCTGCTGGTATAGCTTGGTTCTTACAAACTTATAAAAAGACAGAAATCAACGGTATTATATACATCTGAGAACATGCAAGCTCAGCAATGTAATACTTTCATTTCGTAATAACCTTTTTAAAAATTAATGGTTTTCTCTTCAGAGTTCAACCATAAAAGGAATGAATACTATAACAGAGTGATTACGACAGGAGGGAAATCAGACGCACTTTTTTTTTTTTGTGAACATGCCAGCTCAGCAAAGGGATGCTTTAATTTTTTAATAAGCGTAAAAGATTGTTTTCTCTTCAGAGTTACACCATATAAGGAATGAATAAGACTGCAAGAATATGAAATCATCTTGATGATAATGAACATGACAGCGTGACTCTTGCGTATTTCAAACAGCTTCAAACTGTCACGGACAAATGCGAGTATGCATCGAAATTACGTCAGAATGTTACATCACCTTACACTGCACAAGATCACCGACAGGAAATACTCATGAGGAGTGACCATAAAAGGAAAAAAATTACAGTTTCCGTTGACTTAAAAAAAAGTGAGAACACTTTCAAACTTCATGTAGGTGATTCCCAGTAAATGAAATTGAAATACAATTAGAGAAAAATAGACACAAAAGTTTCCTTTCGCAAAATACAATTTTCCTAAGGCTAATAAAGAAGTAAATTCCAATTCGTTGGTTATTTGTGGGGGAAAAAACCTTTACCCATTGCGCTCAGTGCAATTTAAACACATCGCGAATTTCGCTGTTTTACAACAAAGAGCATTTTTGTTCGAAGTTCAATTGTCTGAGGCGTCAAATTCTTATGTCTAATTTAATGATGCAGTATCGAAGCTTCGTCAAAAATGGTTTAAAAAATCCGCTGAGCTCACTAGAAGAGAAATCTTGAAACTGGGAAGTAGTTTTTTTAAAATTTTAGTTTTCGCGGCCGTTTTAGACATTACCATATTTGGGCACAAAATTGTTATGACTGCGTTGTAAAGCTACAAAGCGTCCACTGTCACTCTCTTTATCCAAACGTCATTCAGATTCACTTAATATTTAATGCCTTGTCACAATAAGTTAGTTGAGAGGCGACTTCGTAGTCGCATAGCGTTTTTAATAAAGGCATCTCGATATACTGTTGAGTTGCGTGACATGCATATGCAAATTATGACAAGATTCGAAGGAATATTAATTGTACTTCGCGAAGAAATGAATCAACAGTACTTTGAAACTTACGGCCCCATATTTCTAAATCCACATTTTTAGCTTTATACGTTTTCAGGATAAGCTTAGTTTTATTAACTTAGTTGATAATATAAATTGGCCATCGTTAAGTGTTTAAAAAGCTGACGTTTCGAGCGTAAGCCCTTCGTCAGAGCGGAAGGAAATGAATGCAACGGTTCAAATCCTGCACATGTTACACTTCGTTGATTACAAGTTACACTTCTCACACAGCATTGTTTAACTTATTTTCCAAATTATAAACCCGTTTAAAGGCAAGTAGTTCTCCATTAAATACTCACACTACCTAAACGTTTGCTTCACCTCCTGAAGCGGAACTAATGCGGTCGATAAATGAACCTATAGTTCTAAGCCTTTTTCAACGCAGTAATTTTAATGCTGTTAAGGGAAATTCTCTTTTCTATGTACACACACGCACATGCAAGCCTCGTGGTATTATGAAGCAGAAAACTAGAGTTTTCTGCCTTTGTTTTGAAATATTTTGATCCATCTAGAGGACTCTGGAGGCAAAAAATATGTTCATGAAATACTAAGCACAATCAACCTCTACCTTCCCTGTTGAAATTACTTCAATTCAAGTGTTAACATCAGAATGCAAATATCATTATTTTTTATTTATTTGAGAAAAGATGTATACATTATTTCGATTTACTGCCTTCTAGCAGCAAGTCTAATTAAGTGACTTGATGTACTTCAAGTGATGCAGTAACAACCAATCAGAAGTCAACATCTTTCTCTACTCACAATGAGCTGTTGACTGTCTTATCAATTCTAGATATTAGATTTTGTTCGACTGCTAATGAAATGAATTATTTTAGGTTTTAACCAGGTGAACACAATAGAGTTTACCAGGGGCATATTAAAGTTGGTAAATTTGCTCAGCAGCACACAATTCAATCGTTTTACATCCATGAGTGACCAAACAGCACTCACAATATCAATATCGATATCAAAATTAAAGTTACATGTCACAGAGAACTCCCTCATGGAGTTACTATAATATATATACTATACATTGCAGATTTACATTGCGCAGGCG